AGAAAAAACTCGGAAGTTTCCAGCCGCTTGCGAACGAAAGAAGCCGCCGCAGGGCGAGGAGGAAGCAGAAGAGAAGGATCGAGAGGTTGAGGTGCGGCCAAGGCGGGAGAAAAGGCATTTTGGTGGGGCGGCGCGAGGGGTGGAGGGAGGTCAGCAGTGGGCCCTTAAACTCAAGCGAACTCAAGGAGGGAATGCCCTATGAACCATCCCTGGCCTTTTTGAAGGACCCTATACCGGCAAGTTTTGGAGCCTCCTTAAGCCTGGTTGAGCTTCAGTACAAAATTGTGCCGCTCGAGCTGTCGCAAGTGGTGGGGCAATTGCATGGAATGGGCCCTGTCAGTTGAGACGGTAACTCTTCAAGGGCCTGAAGAATGTCTGACAATGTTGCCCCCGGATTCACATTGTCGTCCTATGAATCGGTGGTGATTTCTCCAAGCGTGATGCACCCCCACTAACAGGGGACACACACACACACACGATCAAAACTCAAGAGAGCTTTTGCTTAATCCCGCTACAGAGAAAGGGAGAGAGAGACCAAGCAAATTCAATCACACGTCCGCTGGCTTCGCTTATGATTCCGCGCCTACCGCCCACCTTCCCCCTCGGATCCAGTGAACTCGACTCAGATCAGCGCTCGATGGGTCCAATGCAATTGATTTTGTGGTGTACGTATTAAAATATCCAACAGATAGTGTACAAAGAGAGTCAGATAGATAACAGACAGAAAGACAAACATGGGTAGGTACCATGAAAGGGAGCTGTAATTTCATTGGCGAGGTCGTCAGGTTGCCATACCGCTACTTTGCCGTCTATCTGTCTATCTGTCTACCCATCTAAAGATATATCCATCCATCTCTGTATCTATCCATCTATCTATCTGTCTATCTACCTATCTGTCTATCTATCTAATCCTCGACATCTTGCTTCCTCTCGCCTAGCGCTCCGAGTCCCAGCCTCACATCTCGGAGCCGTTCGCTTAGCTTCCCAGCGCCGGCCAACCCTTCTCCCGAAAGCTGGCCTCGAGGACAGGACCTCAGGGTGGCGGGGAGTGATGGCAAAGGGTTGATGAGACGCTGCCCGTTCCCCGATCGAGTCTAAGCAAGGGGTGGCGCAGTAAGCGGTTAGTGAATGAAAGTGAATGATTCCGGCGGCTTCACGTCAGAATGCCTCCCTGCTGCGCACATCTCCTTCACACGAGTGCGGTGGCTGCACTGCACACGCCGGAATTCGGCGTGTGATCAGCGCTCCAGTTGCTCTCAGACACAAATCGATGACGACGAGATCAATCGTCGATTGGCGCATTTGGCGCCCCAGTGTTTCCGCCTACACACTCATTCCTGCACACAAGCCCCGGCAAGACACGTGGAATCACTGCGTGGAGCAGCCGACCAGGGGGGAAGTGTCAAAACTCTCGGTCCCGTTTTATCCTATGGAAGGTCACAAGGCAAAGCGTAATCAAGCGTGAGTCCTCGCCATCCTCATGAACCCAATGAATCCCACCAGGGAGCACCTGAAAAAAAGGCAAAGGCCCGTAAAGGGAACCCACATCAGTTCCAGGCAGCGTCGGCACTTCACTGGAGGCAAGCGCGGGCCCCAGAAACGAAGCGGGTGGATGTCGGCGCCCAAAGGCTCCGCTTCTTTGGGTTTGGCTTTGAAGCGGCTCACATCGAGTTGTTGGCGGCCTGGCTGTAATGTTAACTTTGGATTAATGCGAGACACGGTGCTGATCAGGGGTTCGCTCTTAGCAAGGAAATTACCTGCGTGTTTGGTAGGGTCCGCCGGATTCGTCCCAGGTTGACATGATGAAAGGAGAAGTGAGTGACAAGCCAATCAAAGCAAGTGCATGTTGCTTTTCCAGGCTACGAGGTTGTGATTCCCGCAAGGTCACGGGCCTGCCTACCAAAGGAAGCAAAGTCATGACCGCGGCACCTAAGGAGCTTATGCCCATGCCTCCCCTGTTCGGGTTTCCTCACGTGGTCCACGGCTTTGGTGGCGACACGGGTGTGTCTTTGTTGAGGGCATGTTTGGTTGGTTTTCAGGGGAAACGAAAGGAAAACCACCATTTTGGGGGGTCCTTGAAGAAAAGACACACCTCCTTCTATTGAACAAGCAAAGTAAAGAGCCTGTACAAGACCCAGGTTGACATGTCCGGCTCCGTTGCTTGCAAGCGTCTGAAAATTTTGGGAACGCAAGGTGCACTTGGTTTCCCTTTGAAACCAGTGACAAGCATGTGCCCTTAAACGTGAAGCTAACTTTTGGAGCGTACATTTGCAAATGCATAAAGTGTTCCTTTCACTTGCCAAAGAAGCAAGTGCTGCTTGTATACACTGACATAGTTCTCTGTTCGAGTCTCGATTGAAGCGAGCCACTTCTGTTTGGTTCCAATTTACCGCCGTACCCAACGGCCCAAGGCTTGCAGGCTTAGAGCCCTTGCCGGAAGAGGGCGAGGCTGACGATGACTCTCCCAAGGACTCACGTGATTCGCCTGGGCAGGAGAGGGGAAGAATCCTCATCATTTTTAATGGGAGACCTGCTCGCAAGTGGTTGATGAACAAGACTCCCCACCGAAATGTCCACCAATTGTAAAAAGTCCCCTCTCGAATTTTGCCCCCATCTCCCATCCCTGGCCCTTAATCGGAGCCATGAAAGGCCTTCAAGGCGCTTTCTGGCTGGGCAAGAGAATGAAGGGGGCGGAGAGGCACTCAGGCCGGTAAGGCAAAAGGCGATGACTTGTTTTCCAGTGATTTGTCGGGGGTCCACATTCCCTGAAGAAACAGCCACTTACCATTGTCGTTGCTCCACTTGCAATATTTGTGATGTCTTCGGGAATTCGTGGTGTGCTTTTCGATGGTCCATTTGGGAATTCATGGTCTGATTTCCCCGGGTCATGGCTCCCACCATTCACCCTCCTCCAGGAACGCAAGGAGGAGCACCCCGACCCCTCCCTATGAGTAGAACCGGTTTATGGTTCCTGGGGTCGTAAAACATGGCCGCGGCCGATTGGCGATTGGCCCCAGGCTCAGCGGGAACTTGAGCCTCTCACAAGCAAGCCTTTCTGCAGGGAATGGAATCACTGGGGTTCCTTTCAGTGGGGTGATGTTTTTTGGTGGAGTGAGGTTTTTTCTTCAGTGGGTGACGTTTTTTTCTGGATGTGTTTGGTAATGTTTATTGTTTTTTTTTGTTTTGTTTTTGGTTCCTTTTAGTGGAAACCCGGAAAGGGGGGTCCAATTGGATTGCGCCGTGGGCCTTTTTCCACCCCCTCAAGATGAGTTGAAGCCACTCGGGGAGCAACAGACAACCTCACTCCTCGCCCCCATGCTTGGCTCGACACTGAAGATCAAAACTCAAATGAAGGGTGTGAATGCAACTGGAGCCAACAGAACCCACATTTACACACCCCAAATGGCCATGTATTTCAGTAGGAGACCACATTGGTGGACACGAATCCCCCCAAAAAGGTCCTTCTTTCTCGCATTCCCAAAGGTCATGGCTCACGGTTACAGTAAGACCCACTGACTGGTTAACTGGCACCTGGTGAGCTACCTGGTGGCTCCCGCCCGAAACGTCGGCGGATGTTTCTCGGCCTTCGGCAGGACGCGCCCAGGTGCGGGTGCCATGTTGTTGGTTAGAGGGCGAGGCCCTTCCTTCGTTTGGCGGCCGGGATCCCCCAATTTGTTTGGGCCAAGTAGCCCCGAAGTGTCACGAAGTTTATTATATAGTTGTTTGCCAGAAGGTTGTGGTTTGCTCCAGCATACTTAGTTTGCATTCCTGCTGGTTTTGAAGGGAACCGATCGCTGGAAGATGTTGTGTTGTCCAGACGAGCAGCACAAACAACTAGGTTTGTGGGGCTCTTGAGCTGATACTCCCTTGGGCCAAAAATGCGAGGTCCGATTTGCGTGTGAAAGGAGATTCCGATCCGACAAATGGTTGGGTTTTGCAGGGCTCTAAGCTATTTCCCTTTTGGAATATCCAAAAGTGGCAAATTGAACGGAAACCACCAGTCAACTGGAACTCTTGAAGGGGAATTCCATGGAGCCCTGTTTCAAGGTTTCTATGTTAAACTGTAGCGGCGTAACCATAAGATAAGCCATCCAGATACTCATGGCGTCTCGATGGGTACTATTGGTCTGCGCAAAATAGCGAGCTCCTGCAAAACGGGCCCTTGTTGATTCCTTGAGCGCAAGTGTAGGAATAATTAGTGCTGATGAGTGAAGAGGCCTCCTTTGGTTGGCGGATGGGTGTTTTGACGTCCAGCGTCCACCCTTTTTCGGTTGCGCATGTTTGCTTCGTTCGTGGTTTTGGGTCTTGCTTGTTTGGGAGTCGAGGGTTCCAAAATGAGGCTCAAGCCAATGGCTGCATTTCCATGTACATGTGTCATCCAATGCAAGCACTGCCCAAACCTCTAACCTGCCACAAAGCAAGTCAGCAAAACCAGGGGCTTCAGATGCGTTGGTTGGCCTTGGCCAACCCTGAACAGCCAAGTGGTTTTGTGATTTGAGTTGAGCCCAAAGACTGAGGGTCCTACAATGAGTCCTATATAAACGGGGTTGCTGCTTCGGTATTGACATCAAACACTTGGGACAGACCCATTTGTCATGCTGGATGTTTCCGGAGACGCTCAAAGGGGGCCCCCGATCTGGGCCCTAAATGGCCCTGGTTTTATCATATAAAAACATTTACGCTAAAAGCGGATGGGATGTGTTGAACAAATATACATCATATTTAGTAGACAGTTTGGTTGGCAAATGAAACTATCTATGCCAATGTAGGGCAAAGCCTCACAAAGCAAGATTCCCCCTAAAAGGATTCCTTCTTTTTTACAGACCCTTGAAAGGTCCGGCCCCCTTAAAAAAAACACCAACCTCCCAGAACCCTAGAAAATACAAAGGTGGGTCCCCTACAAAACGAAAAACCTCAGACCCCTTTTTGAAACACCCGCAAAAGAAAAGGAAAGAAAGAAGAAACACCAAACCCCGCAAAAAGCAAAACAAAACCGGCCACCTCCCCATTTTCGGCCCCAAGCCGACGACTTCGAAGTCGAAGCCAACGTTGCCATGGACGCGCTGCTGCCGCTGGCGGGGACCTCCCTGCGCTCCGTGGCCACGGTCGCGGCCTGCGCCTCTGTGGGGGCCTACGCCCGGCGCCAAGGCACGTATCCTCGTCTTGTAAAAGTGGGGCAGCCAAAAGATGCTGGCATCTGCAGTTTTCACAATTCCAAAGCTGAACTAATCACTTCCCCCTATTAATAAAGGTCTCCCTAATAATAAATATTTGTTTCGGAAGTCCCAAATCCGGGAATACTACTTTTAGAATAGCCAATACTAAGCCAATTCTAAAGTAGATATTTTCCTGCCCGTACTCAAATCCAGCCCCATTAGGGGGACCCCGGGGGCACGTTTCCTTTAATTACTACGGCTGTACTACAAAGTTGCGACTTTCAGGCCAGAGCTCCGGGAGCACGTTTCCTTTACTACGGCTGTACTACAAAGTTGCGACTTTCGAGCCAGAGCTCCGGGAGCACGTTTCCTTTACTACGGCTGTACTACAAAGTTGCGACTTTCGAGCCAGAGCTCCGGGAGCACGTTTCCTTTACTACGGCTGTACTACAAAGTTGCGACTTTCGAGCCTGAGCTCCGGGAGCACGTTTCCTTTACACGGCTGTACTACAACGTTGCGACTTTCAAGCCAGAGCTCCGGGAACACGGTTACCCAAAACCCACAACCAAAAACAACAAAACGTGACCTCAACTCCCGCTACTTAAATTCGTTACTCAGAAATGTGCGTTTGAAGCGATTTTACGGAACGGAACAGGGGGACCACAGTTGCAAACAAGCCTACACAGAACAAGAAGTACCTCCAAAACCTGCCCTCCAGAACCAGGGGACCCCTAATAATAAAAATTGTTTTGCAGGCCGGGTATTTTTTTTATTAGGGAGGGGGGGGGGCGTCGTTTATTATTAGGGGGAAGGGATTACCCCAAGTGAAGGACCTGTATGATGGCTTTCGCTCGTTCTACCCCCAAACCGGTGAGCTCGCTATAAAATGGGCAGAACCATCCACCCACCTCACCCTGATAGATTCCCTTTTAGCCAGGGGAAAATACAACATCTTCATTTCAGAAATGGAAGATTCCTCAGCAAGAACCAGGGCTTCAAATCCAAATCCTCCGCATTGCGTTCCTTCCGCCCAGTAAGGAAGGCTCTATCTTGCAGCGGGGTTCGTTTTGCAATGAGTTTCGTTTCCATCACTGCAATTGCAAGATGTCAAGTTGGTGGGCATGATCAAGTTGGACAGTTCATGTCCTTTGCCTTGAAGTGGAACTGTATAATTTGTGGTCAAGGAGTTTGATCTTTTTATTATTATTATTTTTAGGAATGTGTGTGTGAGTGTGTGTGTGGTTCAGTGCCGGTTGTGCTATTGTGCTATTGCCATGTGTGACGTGGGCGCTTGATGCAGGCATGGATGGTTTTTCTCTGCCAGGTATCCTCGATGAGCGGTCAGAGAAGTTCTTGGACCAGCCAGCCGTCAAATGTCGAGTTGGGGGTGTCATGGAGCCTGGAGGCCGTTTCTTGGGGTGTCGCTAGTAAGGTGTGGGGGCTTAGAGGGGGTTTATGGCCACATACCGGCGCTGAAAGAACGGTTGATACCGTGTTTTCGGCTCAAATAGGTTCCGGGTGGTGGAAACCATCTTAGAGCAGATGGTATTTCTGGCTAAAGGCTTCGCCTTTTTGGGACTTGATCCATTTTTGCGCATGGGCCCCGTTTTCGTTGCAGAGGTCCCGCAACAAAGGGACCTCCCCAAGTGCCAAAAAGGCCAAGCAAGGAGCCAGCCCTCCCTTGAGTTCCACGCTACCACCATGGTATCGGTCATGGGTGGTGCCCTTTCGGGCATTGGTGATATGGCTGGGTATGTGCACAGTTCTGGCAAATTGGAAAAGAACCTATGGCTCCTGTTCAACATCTTGGTTCTAAACGACATGCTCGATGTCGTGTACGTGTTTTGTGCCCATGCAGTGTGCATGTGTGTGTGTACGGAGAATGGTCATACTCTGCAATCATTTGGACAGAATATGCTCACGTGGAGGTAAAACAAGCCAACGCTACCCCAGAAACGGAAGGAGCCCGGAAAACAGATTTGCGGAGGAAACCAACCCTTGGCTTCCGCGTGAATTTGCAGAGTAAACGGTCAACCGCAACCCTGAGTGTCAAACTGGAGGTCAATTGAACCACTTCGCCTGCACCTAGGAAGCGACTTGTTCAGCGCCCGCAAACTCCTCTGTCGGTGGCTTCCCCGCGTCCAAAGATCCGCCCCTTCTTGGGGTTAGCCTCAGACTCGGCATTTCACGTGGAAAATCCCGAAAGGCGACTCAGAAAACCCCAAGCCGATCCATTGCAATGTGCGTAGCAAGGGCAAGGGGAGTTTTGACAGGAGTTCTCACGTTTCACCTTTCGGGCCCATGAGTTTGCCTTGCTGGAGGAAGGAAAAAGGAGAAAACATAGGGACAGTTAGGAGTGTTACGCAAAATTCTTGGGTGGACCTTGTTTTCACGGAAGAAAGAGTTCTCCTTGCTTTAGACATTTTTGGGGCGGATCCGGCTTATTCGCCCCGCCAGCAGGGAAGGGCGAGGGGTGCGATTCCCCCCCCCCCCCCTCGTGGCCCCACACTGCCAGCACGTTCCCATTGTCTGCGTTGTTTGCGATGGCTTGCGGCTAATTCTCCATATTTTGGCAAACACTGAGTCGTACCTGTCGTTGCTGGCCTGCGTTCGTTCACCCATCCTCAAGCTGGAAACCAACCATTTTTGGGGCTGGTCTTTGGTGTGACCTTAGCCCCTTAGACCTTTTGCTCAGGCTTCCGTCTTTTCAACGTTCCCTGGTAAAGGGAACCTATGACTATTGGACATATTGTCTCAATTTTTGCAGACACGGTCCCTGAAATAGAAGACGAGCTCGCAGCCTGGTTTCGGGAAGTCTGAAGCACTCTGAGGGGTTTTGTAGTACACCCTGGGATTACACCCTTGGGAAATGACCCAGAATGGTTCAAAATAACACGGTTTTATCCGGAAATGTGCCTAAATGGGGGTCAATACCCAGTGGGTGTATTCCCAGTGTCATACAAAAAACCCTTAGAGAAGCAGTCTGAGGTTCATTTCTTCGGTGTGTCTTCCTTGCCTGATCCTCCGCAAGGCGCGGATCCCACCCGATCGCCTTGCTCGGAGCTGATGAGTTTCTCACGCTTTTCGAGAAATTCTTGCGGGGTTCTCAAAATGGTGAACACCTCCCTTTCGGACAATAGAGTCACTTTTTGGGTTTGGACCATGTTAGTGGTAAATGACAAGTTTGGACGTGTTGCCCATCTCAGAAAGAGAGTTTCCGGTGAGCTTCCACCTGCTTGTCGGGGCCCCCGCCCATGGTTGGTGCCTTGGTGCCCCTCAGAAATGTTTGCATATCTCACCTTTCGGGCGTGCAAGTGAGCGTTCCATCATGTTAACTTTGTTCGGATTACAGTGCCGATAAATCGGTACAGTGCGAACAAATTTCTGGAGTTGGCAGGTGGGACATGTAGAGGCGCTGATGATGTCAAGGTGCATGTTGGCCCAGTCTACTGACTCGTCAATCTTGCGGTTTCGGGTTTTCTGCAAAGAGGGGAATCAGCGCAGCCCTTGAATCCTGGGCAATATTTAGTGGGTCTCCTTTGAGTTGCCCATCAGCCAGAAGGGCTTCATAGATCAATCATTGGTTCCTTTGCCAAGTGTTCACTTTGGTTATGGTGCTCCACTATTGTTAGCCCCGGATGAAAAAACTCCTGGTTGATTTTGATCGGGGGGTGCCCCCCTTTAGTGGTTGGATTCAGACCACTTTTGGAGGGGTTTCCACCCCCCAATAGTGGGACGGGTTTATTAGTGGGTCAACAAAATTGGGTTGCCTTTTGTTTTTTCCCGGTGAGTTCAACATATGAAGATCCGCTTCTGCGGTTCTGGACTTCTGGACTTCTGGACTTCTGGACTTCTGGACTTCTGGACTTCTGGACTTCGGACGCCAGGTGCCTCCCTTGATCAGCTTTCAGCAGCTGCTGACGACCTGGCCCCTACTACTGCTGTGCCTTTGCACCGTGGTGTTTCCTGGCCGCATTCTTATGCTCGATCCACGCACAAAAAGCTGGGATTTTCTGCCTAGGGCCATGAAAACCCGAGGGTCAGTGGGAGGGTCCCAGAAAATAGGTTCCAAGATTTGCTTTTTTAGCCATATGGTTTTGGGTGGAGTACTTCGGTCTTCATTGTGACTCACTGCAAGTTGTAACTAAGGTCTCACCATCAGATCCGCGAACCATACCCCTTTTGGACCCACAAATATTCGCCAGCCCAAGGCTTCTGTCTTCTTGCGTGGCATGGCATCGGAGCGTTGGAAAGACCTCGCTCCACACACGAAGCATGCTTGCGAAAGGATTGTCTATCCCAAAATGACTGGAAGCCATCGCTTCCTTTGGCATACTCTCAGAACAACCAGGATCTTGTCCATCCTCAGTACCACTGGGCCAAAGCCGCAACTAGTCATTTTTTGGGGGGAAAACTGGAATTCTCAACAAAGGCAGCGACACGTTCAAGTTGATCTTCCATGCTCATGTTTTTGCATGGTTCCAAGTCAATCCCTCCCTACGGATTTTGGTTGTTTCCTTTGTGGGCGTCCCATGACCAAAGGATTAGGAGATCCCCATTGAGCGGGAAAGGATGAGCACACCAGTTTGTGGGTTGAGACCTCCAGGAAGCGGAGGTTTCCTTAACATTCGAGCATACCGCGGAAAAAATGCAGTTGTCGTGGTTTCCCTCTAGACCAACAAAAAAAACATCTCTTGGTTTACTTCAACACCCGCCCACCAATTAACACGGACCAACATGGAACCTGACGTTCGGGGGGTCCTGTTTTGAACCATGTTCCTTTCAAAGGGACCGGGTGCATATCGACCGTCAGGTTCCATGTTAAATTGGTGGGAGGGTATGTTGTCCAACTTTTTTGGACTGCTATTTTGTTGGACCTTCGGACTTCAACTTTTTGGGAAAACAAGGGTTTTCCACGAAACCCCCGCAAAGTGAAACTTTTTGCAGGGGGGTCAGCAGCAACCAATACCAAATCGGATCCAAAGACCCGGGCTATGCACCTGGGACCGGCCCTGAGGTATGGGCTGCTGGCCGGCGCTGCGGCGGCCAGGCTGCTGAAGCTGCGCCGCCCGGTCAAAAAACTCGTGGGTGCTGATTCGACGTTCAAAGGTCGGGAAACATGAGACAAATCTGGCCCCCTTTGGCCGGTTGTTTTTTTGAGGGGGGGGCTTGTTGTTGTGTTGTTTGTTTCTTCTCTCTTGTTTTTCTCGGGGGTCCCCCGGCCCCAAAAAAAAAAGGTGGTGTTCCTGTTGCTTTCTTGGCTTGAAACGACATAACAAAAGGTACCCTCAACAAAGACACATTTGTCTCACCTGCTGAATTCATCAACACTTCAAGCAAATTGTGGGCCTTCCATTTTGGTAACTCTTGATTCAAATAGGGTGTCGCGTAGGGAAGCCCTTTTTGGAGTTGTTTTAAAGGTACCCTCCCACCAATTAACATGGAACCTGACAGGGGCCCTTTAGAAGGAAAATCGTCTTCCAGGACCCCTGGAACGTCAGGTTCCATGTTAATTGGTGGGAGGGTAATTGAAAGGGAACCAAGCCATTTGATTTATTTTTTTTTGGGGGGGGCTTAACCCCCAAATATAGTCCAAGGTCCGGTGAAGCCTAAAGTAGGTTGTTTCCTTTGAGGTGACTTTCAAGAATGCCCAGTTTGGAGTGGTTTTAGGGAGAAACCAGAGGAACGCTTACCCATTTGCTGGTGTTCCCTATCTTAAGATACCAGCACCAGGCATCCGCAGGTTAAAGGGAGCATTGATGGCACATGTGTTACAGCCTTCTCTGGTACTAGCCCAACAAAAAACAAAAGGGAGCCAAAGGGATGAATGTTCAATGGTTGGAACCACCTGCAAAGTGCTTGGTGGACATGGTTTCCCTCAAGCAAACACCAAGAAAGGGGGACCAACTCAAAAAGCAAAAAGGGACGAGCCACTCCCAAACGCTGGAGAGCCAAACCAATCGGAGTTCCCTTAAACAAGCACCAAGAAAGAGGTACCCAATCCCAAATATGTTGCACGAGCCACTCCCCCAAATGCGGGCGAGCCAAACCAATCGGAGCTGAAGGCAGCTTCAGCGGATTGATCATGACGGCGGTGGCCTTCCCCAACTCTTTCTCCGTGCCGATGACTCTGCTCTTGGCCCTGGGCCCTCACCCGGCGCTGCAGGCGGGAGCCAGAGGCATAGCTGGGTGGATGTTGGTTTGTTGGGTCGGTGCCTGTTGTGTGTGGTTTAAACGGAAGCCAAGAGGAAAACCAAGAGGTCACCCTTTTGTGACGGTTTTTACGCTTGCGGACATCTTCACATCATTTCTCCTCTGCGTTTCGGGTTGAACGTTGACTAAGGTCAAGGAACAGTTTCTCCCTCCTTCTCCCTTGCAAGGTCACGGGCGGGTGGCCAAAAAGGTATGCTCCAAGAGGAAATGCCTCTAAAGGCGATGATATTTGGGCTGCAGACCGAGTCCTTGGTCTGAATCTTGAATGAAACCAAAGCTCTATGAGCTGGTGCAGCGGCGAGGGAGGAAGGGGGCAACTTGAGTTGGGGTTGGACCCGGAAGAAGCGAGGTCGTCAACCTGAATGAAGGCAAATCAACCTTCAAGAGGAGCAAGGTCCAACAAAGGCAACCTGATGTTTCACAACTATGCAGCTCGTGATGGGGTCTTTCGGATGTTTTACCCCGGCCAAATTATCGCAGTTTTTCGCCGCAGGCCGGGTCGGTGTGTCTACAAAAGTCGGGCCCAAACTGGTGCTTTTCCCTTTGGTGTCCCGACAAAACAATCCCAAAGTCAAACCCTCAAAACAGAGACGCCCGGCTGTTCCTTTTCCTGATCCAATTCATGAGTTATGTGGTGGAACGGGGCCTATATGCTGCTCCTCATCATTTCCACGCAGCCGAAACATGGGGTCCTATTTCTTTTTTCCGGCCAGAGTAAGCATCACTTGGGTTTGTCGATTTTTCGTTAGAGGACCTCAAAACGGTCCTTTTCCTTTTGGGCTTCCCTTAAAACCACAAAGACCAAGAAGTGCCCTCCAGGCAGACGAGCCACCCACCCATTTGGCCATTTGTGGCAGGCTTGGGACGCCTCCGATGCGTCCGAGGCGACGGCGCAGGCGAGACTGAAAGTTAAGGAGTGCTTCGCGATGTGGATGTCGTCTTCTTCGGGGCTGAAGTTTTGCCTCCCGCGAACATGGCACCTGAAGGGTCCCTTAAACTCTACTGCTACTGGGTTGGATCTTTAGACTTTAACTTTTTGGATACCCCTCATATGTCCTTTTAACCTGCAAACAGGTTTCACTTTTGGCTGGGGGATCCACAGCACCCGAGTTTTAAAGAGGAAGTTGAGGTTTCGACATACCTGGCAACCACATTCGACACTTGAGGCTTAACCGTGTCGTTTTTGCTGAGTCGAACCAGGGCAGGCGTTCTACCAGTCAGGCTTGTTGGCGTCAGACACATTTGGCTCTTTGATGGGACTCACGGAGTGAGTTCCTGGACTTCAAGCTTTGTGGGACGACCGTTTGGGACCAAACTTGCTGGTGCTCAGCACGTCAGGGAAGGAGGGAATGACCCTATAAACCATCCCCTGTGGTTTACGTTAAAGGGATTTCCAGGCTCATTCCCTCATGCCCTGCTGAGCACCGGCAAGCAAAGTTTTAGACAAACTGTTTTGGGGAGTGCCTAGGACTGTTCTGGTGGCAGACTCAAAGTTTGAGTGGTCAATCCTAGGATGCGAGTTGAAGCAGGTTTGTCCTCGTGTCGTTAGCCCGGATCCTGGCTAGCCTAACTGCGGAACCACCTAGGTGCCGATCTAGAGATTCCGCTATTAGATACCTAGATAGAAGGTGTCATAACCCCTGAATTTTGGGTCATGACCCCTGTTTTTGCTGGGTCAGAAGGAGACTCCAGGCACGCCTATTGCCCACCCGTTTTTCTTGTCCTCGTAGCTGGCTCCCAGACATCCCCCTAGCTGTTTAGCCTTTTAGTGTTTAGTGGTAGTTTCCATTTAAGCCACTAAAAGTTAGTCACTTTTAGCGGGGGATCAGAAAACGGACAGCCCAGGTAGGCTTCCCGTCGAAAGCTTTCGTCGCAAGCTTCCGAGGCGCTGCACGACCGAGTGGTGGTGCTCTTCCTCAACAGCTTCCCCATTTGGGTGGTGGCGCGCTGGGGCATCGGCTTTCCCGTCTTGTCAGGCGCCTGTGCAACGCGTTCACGTTTGCGCTGGCGCGCGTGTTATACTCGCAAGGGCGCGGGGAAGGGGGGAGGGAAGGGGGAGGCACTACTCGCAAACTGGGAAACTGGACTTTGGGTCGTTTTGGGAGGGAAAGCCTTGCCAAGCTGGGTTTGAAAGAAGAAGCCAAGAGGGAAGACATAACTTTCAGGGACACCCTAGACTCTAGACCACTGTGAGACATACCGTGGCGAACGCTTGGGGAAGATCGTTTCAGCGATGAACCAAAGGCCAAAGCCTACCCGTGTTTTGCAGGACGTGAGGCCGCAAACATCGGCTTTGGGACTATGGGCATCTCAAAATTTGATCTGCCCAGTGGATTCCCGGTTTACTGCAATTTGGGTCTGTCTTTTGTTCCGGGTATCCCTTTTAGGGGAGCTGTAGAATGGACCCCCCACGCAAACAAGAAGCAAAAAAGAAACAGTGTTACAAGAAAACACATTGTGGGGGGTGCCTTACTTTGAGACACAACATGTTCAGAGTGTCGCTATGCATATGCAAGGGGTCAGGAACTCATGAGCCACTTTCTGTGAGGATTCTCTTTCAAGCGAAATGGACAAATCAACCACACGATGTCACCTGGATTTCCGATGGGTTTGGGATTGACGGCTTGAATTTGAAGGCCCCAGTCGGAGAACATGGGGCCTTTGTGTCGAATGAGAGATCCAACTTGAGCTCCCGAACGAGAACCGAGTCCCGAAAGCCCCTTCTGGTCGAAGGGAGTGGGAATCAGCAGGACAACCGGAAGATGAAAATGCAACTTTTCCAAAGCACGAAAGGACGCCCCGGCCGTGGAAGAAACTGGAAAGGCTCGCTCTGAAAGCTCAAAATGATCGAAGGGTTCAATGAGCGAACCTTTCTGGGGGGTAGGGATATGGGTGGTGTGGGTCCGCTTTTGCGTCTTCTTATGTTTGGCCAGCGTGCGCAAAACGTGGCCACAGTTAAACGGTGGATTCCACTCAACAAAGGTTCCTGTTTTCTTCCGCTCGGGTCACTGGATAGGCCTTTCTTGATGCTATGGGTGAATAGCTGTTCTTGGTTCGCTGTGAGGCCTGCAAAGAATAGCCAATGTTTTGCCAAGCTACCAGGGGTTTGAGATGTTGACCTGCCAAACTTCCGTGTCTCGACATGTTTTTGGGGAAGCCCATGCTCGTGAGGTTGCCCATCCACGGCTATACCTTAGCCTTATTGAACAAATGTATGGCCTGCCAAAAAGTGTTAAGTTTCCTCTGGGAGGTTTGCCAAACGTGATTGTCATGACCTTTTGAGCTAATTAGAACAAGCTCATGGGTCGGGTGTAAAACGACTGTTCCTAAATTCAGGTTGGTGAAGTATTATAATTTGCCAGATTCTTGTAGGTTCGGTCCAGGTTGCTGGCTTTCTATTAATGATTCGGAAGGAGGGGGAGGAGCTCCAAGAGTTTCCCACAAAAACCTCCCATGCCTTGGGGGAGCAAAGGCATTTCGGTGGCTTCTTGCTAGACTTTGTTTGGCTTTGTCTTTCGAGGGAACCCTCAAAATGGAGAGGTTTCCCCTCTCCCTTGAAAGCACTATCCAAAAAGGCCACCCTCAAGAAAAGCACACACCCGCCTCTTTGCATCATGTTCCATCATTTCCCGCAAAAATCTTCTCACCGGCTCGGTGGGATCCGGTGATTCGAGGAGCCTTTTCCTTCCAGCAGTGGCGGAAGAAGGTGCTGAACCCTCCGGTGAAGGCCTGTCTGCTGTCTTTGCCCGTGGGCTTCGCACCCTGGCATCGAAGGAAATGTTGAGTGCCGTAGAAACATATCAACCACGTCAAATATGATTCCTCAGTGCTATTGGCTTGGATGTTAACTTTTTGGGTAATCAAGGGTTTTTTATTCAACCCACAAAAAGTTAAACTTTTCGCAGGGGGGTCTACAGCAACCAAGAATTGAAAGCAATTCAAAAAGGGTGTCCCCAAAAGGCAGCAAATGTTTGGTGTTTTTTGGGGTTTGAGTTCCGTTTCGGACTTTAGTCAATGTTTTGTGTTGTTCACTATTTTAGGGGTAAAAACAAAGTTCGGCTACCTTTGGCCAATCCTTTCTGGATTATCTTTGAAATCACTCCAAAAAGGGTCCCCAAACAGCGACAAACCCACGTTTGGCTTTTTTGGGGTTCCCCAAAAAGCGCCTTGGCATGTGGGTGTGCCTCCTACCAGGGCATCACCCACAAAAGTGAAGGATTCTCAGTTCTAGTGCGGGGTCATTCAGGACACCCCAAAAACTGTGTCTTTCCCTCTGCCTTTGAACCACACCAAAATGGGATTCCCCCGCAGAAAATACCAGCCCTCAGGGACCCGGTTTCTTCAACTTGAGGAATCAGAGGGTACATGAGCGAGTTCCGGTTGGCGTTTGTGGCCGACCCACGTCGGAAGTGGATGAATGACTCAAGGGTGGGCTGAAACCCAGTGGCTACTTCCCCCAAGAACAAGCTGGGGTGAAGTCTTTCAACCCCCAAATGCTTAGTTTGTGTTTGTGTTTGCGGGTCTGTACCCATTTCTTGTTTGGCTTTTAGGACAACGAAAAAGGCGCCCCAAGCTTTTTCCAGGGACCGGTCTTCCTACTTTGAGACACCAGATGGTTCAGTTCCAATCCGGAGCATAACTATCCGTTTTAGGTTCCTTTGGTTACAAATAGGTTCCAGGATTCCACTGGTTCAGATGGCTTGTAGAAGCCATGTACCAAGGAAGCCCATCTAGTTTTCCGATTTCGGTCACCTATCAGAGGTGCTGCACTACTGCGAAGGGGTTGACTTCCAGATCTTTCAGCCAGCGGACGCCTGAGTGACTCAGGGGCTTCTTTTGGGGCTCTTTCATTTTGGGACGTCCATGATGAAGGTTTCATTTATATTATAGTGACCTCTTCACCACAAGAAGTTTGTTTGCCTGTTTGTGACTTTTGCATGTTTGGAGGGGTTGGCCCAACTACTCATGCATTGGTCCCTTTTGATTTCCATTCTTACTTCCCAATCCAGCAAGCACAGCTTTATGCGGGGGGATGCTTCTGGCCAAGTAAGAAGGATGCCTACTGTATCCACTCTTCGGCTTGGAGCTGTCGGCTGTTGAAAGCGCTTGGTAGCCGAGTTCCCTCCGTGGCGTCACACGGTCTTCCCATTTGCTGAAATTATCATGTTGCATTCTTCCCAGGGAAGTGTTAAAGGGAATCTATCACTCCGGGATGTTTTTCTCATTGTTTCCAGGGGGCGAAAGAGCAAATGGAGGGTTATGAATCGAAGCTGGTGCGCCTTGCTCTCACAAAGTCTCGAGTTCCAACGGGGCCAAAGCAGGGTCTGAGATTCAAAGCATGTAGCAATGCCTGCAACATATCAGCACAAAGTCAGACATGCCACACACACACACCCAAGAGCGCCACAAATTGAGCTTAAAAGGAATTGAATTGGCGGGTCTGGGTGTATCAATCCTTCCTCCTGCTTTCCCTTGCAGTGGTGTCCAGGCTATAGGGGATGAGTCCCGCATCCCGTTTTGAACAAACTAGCAGGCGACTGCCTGAAAACATGGGGCGCAACAAATATCTGCCCAAAGCGAATCCAATTTTCCAAAAGGTGGTCACCTTTCATTGGAAAGCAAAGCGCGAGGGTAGGTTTGGATGCCGCCCGGCACTCGAGAACCCAGGACAACGTTGCTGGGAGAGTGCCGTGCTAAGGTCCAAACAGAGAACAGCAGAGGTGCGAATTAGGCAGCCAACCAACGTAGACATGTGCGTCCGAGGGCTTTCAGCCCAGAAGTACTTCACCTCAATCAAATTCGCCCGAAATGAACATACTTCACCTGCAAGCCACAAGGGGTTCATTGGACCTAGTCAACCCCTAGACGCTGATTTTGTGTGGACATTTTGCCCCTAAACCATTTGACACGTCCAAGATCCATTCGGCAAAGCTTCACAAGTGTCGTTGCTCTTACTGCAATGGAACCTTTATATAAGGGCCGCTGTTTAAACAATAATGGGTGCAACCTCGCTATGGGGCATAGAAAGCTGGTTTAACCCTTACCATGCCAGCATCAAGAATTTGTGTTTCTGGTGGTGCCCAGGCTTTAGTCACTTTTTGGACTCAGACCAATCACAAAGGCTTGGTGTTTCTTCCCTTGATTTTTCGGGGCGTCGAGCGCTGGGGTCGGGTCGAGCGACTCGGATCGGATCGGAGGCCGTGACCGCGGTGGACTTCGCGGGGCGCTGCTCGGTGCCGCTGCTGCTCATGGTGCTGGGCGCCAAGGCGCGCGGGGCGTCCAGCGGCGGGCGGCGCGCGGCGGGCGGCGGGCGGCGGGGGGTCGAGTCGTTGGTGGGGCGAGCGGGGCTTGGGGGGGCGCCAAGTCGCTTGGGGGCGCTTGGGGGGGGGTTGCGGGAAGTCGGGAAGTGGGGGGCGCAAGGCACGGGTGGTGATGGTGAGTTCAAGTAGTGGTGATGGTGCTGGTGGTAGAGTAGCTGGAGCAGAAGTAGGGGTAGTAGCAGTAGGAATATGAATAGGAGTAGGTGTAGGAGTAGGAGTAGGAGTAGTAGTGGTGGTGGTGGTGTTTGGTCTTCATGGCTATTTGGTTGGCCAGATCTTTGGACTGAACAACTGGTTGGTCGAAACTTTGGCTGTTTTTTTTCCCGAATTGGACCACAAACAATTAATTACTTTTTGCAGAGGGTCAACAGCAACCCGTGATTTGCATTAGAAAGGGTGGCACTGTTTTCGAGGGCAAGCCTCACTCCCTGAGTTTTTGTTTCGCACTTTAGTTCACATTTGTGGGGCTCCGTTTATCTTTTTTGGCCAGGAAGTGAGTACGGTTTTTTGATGGCTCTTTTAGATGGTTGCCAGTCGCTGGGTTGAAGGGACCATGTTAGAGGCCCTCCCCCCCCAAAGTTCCCCACAAACCCGAGATGCCAATACCCTGAGACTGAACGGTGCTGTCAGCCGAGAGGCACCGACCGTACGAATGTTTCACAGCCGTCACCGGTGTTTTCCTATGGAAACCTTTGAACCCACCGGTTTCCTAAATGGGTTGCCCGTTTTGCCACTCTCAATAACTTGGCAATGGCCTTTCCAGTTTTCACTAAGAGGAATTCTGATTCCACCTAAGAAAAGAAACCGTGCCAGAACTAGCAATAACTAAACAATGCCTCTTTCAACGGTTCCACACCTAGATAGAAGAGCATAACTTTTTCCGCTAAACCAAGGGACTGTTCCACAACTTGCAACTACCTGTTTGCCTGCTTTTGCACAAACCATTGTCGGTTCCCTTGCTTCTCCTGGCAAATCATATGCTCAGGAGCAAGACGGGAGAAACCACGGGACAAGTTGAATGGGTCCCCCACCCACCCCACCCACCCCACCCACCCCACCCACCCCACCCCACCCCCCCACCCCCCGCGCCCCGCCCACAAAAAAGAAGGTGGACGGAATTGCCGTGGAAGTGTTCGCTGCAGGCACGTGCCGAAGTCATGTGTCTTGCCGTGAGCTGCGCCAAGAATCGGTTGGCGATCTCCATCACACTTTGCAAGGCTTCTGCGAGCCTTCATAGCCATGGTACAGGTAGAACCACAAGTCAATATTTGGACACAGCTCACGTGCGGTCAACAGATCAGAAGGATGGTTAATATAGGAGGGGCGTGAGGGGACGTGCTAGTTTCCTATGAGCCCGGGATCACTGAATTTCCCACACAATCTGGAGGGCGAGGGATCACCCACTTTCCCGCGTCCCTTCCGGGAGTGTCCATTTAGCCCACTAAAAGTTATACTTTTAGCAGGGGATCTGAGGACAGCCCAGTTAAGGGAAGGTTTTCTTTGGAAGCCGAATAGGCACTCTCTAAATCCCTGTTGGGCGGATTTTTTGAGGATGATCAGCTGCAAAAAGGCCCGCTTAATTCCACCCTCACTGGGAAACTAGGAATTGCTGAAGCGTGGTTGCACCCTAGCACCAGCATGCCTGACTGGAGTGTTTTTTTGTTTTCTCTTAAGGGGACCTCAGTCTGCTCCCGTTGTGGGCTCTGCCGGTGCGGGGGTAGTCGCTATGGATTTGAAGTACCCAGTAATCTGCCTATTTTGTAGTGAGCTCACTGGTTCGGGGGTACACCCTGTTAATAAGCCTTCACTGGTAAAGATCCGATTCTGAATTCAGCTTTTGAGCTTATTTCGTATGCAGAAATGTTATGCTTGAGGCCCTCCCCTCTCTCACCGTGGGACCTGACAGCCCCAGAGGTGCCATAGCAACCAGGGAGGAAGGGCTCCCATAGTTCATTCACAGCGGTTCCGGAGAGAGACAAACTAAAACCCCGGTTGGTGTATGGTATTTATAGGGTCTATTGTTGGCAGGTGTACAATGTTTTATGGGGTCTTTATTGCAGGTGTGGCTTGCGCAGCTCACGTTGTTCGTTTTCTTGCTGGTGCGATAGGTGGGGAATCGGGGATGAGAAATGGAATGAATTTGGGGATTCCCGAATAGAGGAAACCACCAGTGGCATGGTTTCTCTAAATGGGTGCGGCCGCCTGGTCATTCTTTACATGATTCTGGGTAGACCATTCAAATACCGCGTTTTGATTGCGCAAGTTGGTTTTGCAGACCCCAAAAACGGGCCTTCGCCCTATTCAGGTGGCAAGGGCAAGAGCTACGAGGCCCTGCCTTCGCCCTCCAAGCCGGAGAGTGTAAAGCCCCTTGGCGCCATCACTTTGACTGGACAATTGGGACCCGCCTCAAAAGCAACCTATCGAACTAAACAAAGCAAAGAAAAAACACTTCCTGAGTTCAAGGACTTGACACTTGTTTTTGGAAAGACCATGTTAGTTGCAAATAAAAAGTTTGGTTACTTTTTGCCAGTCCACTCAGGAAGTGAGAAGCACACATTGACATGGGGCCAAGAGTAACAATCGCACAGACACGCATGTGCTTCTTCCTGAGCTGTGACTTAATGTGGCGTTGAAGGCCGTGAAAGCCATCCCATAGACCCATTCTGGATGTTTAGGCCCCTCATGGTAGGTGTCTTGTTTGGTCATTTTGAACAACGCCGCTGGTTCGGTGTTGTTCTACTCATTCTACTGCCACAGGACGCCTAAGCCCTGGGAAAGAGTTTGCGCGGCAAGCGGTTTGACTCCCGCCCAGTCGCTGTTGCACATTGCCCGGACGCATGCTTGCCGTTTGTGGCTCATTCCTGGCTGTCCGGCTGGTCGACTTGCTCGATGCTGCTAGCTTTTACAAGCCTCGGGGAAATGCGAAGAGGACTTGTTTCAATGTGGCGAAAAGGCAGCGGCACTTCTGGCAAACGGTTGTCAGCTTTTTGGCCGACCCCCCGTTGATGTGATTGTCCCAGTTTGATCTTGTCTTAATCTGTCGTTGTGCCCGATAAATCACCCATCGCATTTTGAATTTGAAAGGGGACCTGTATCTGCCCGATAAATCGCCCATCGCTCATTTGTTTGAAAGGGGACTTGTATTTGTTCGGCTTTTCCAAGCCTATTGATTGCACCCAGTGCATGTGCAAAGCCATTTGGGGTGTGGAGAAGTTGCTTTTTCCGCAGATTGGTTGGAAGGGTCCGGTCCACATCACTAAGGACCCCCTTTTCCTTTTAAATGGCACATGTTTCCACTTACCGATCGGGCAACCCATGTTGGATTTCCGAGGGGCACCTCCCCGAGAGCCGGATTCGGATGTGAAGCAGAGGGTGAATGGGAAACCCCGGAACTTGAAGCCAAATCTAAACCAACTGAGGCAATGCTCACTTTGCGAGTTTCTAGGCTTTACACTTTCCGGGAAGACCATTTTAATATTTGGTTTGGGGCTAGTTTCAGGAAGCGAGGTGAATGCTGGCAGGTTCAATATGTTTGTTTTTTTTTAGTCCGCAACTTCCCCTCGGAGAAATGTGCGAAGGATCGGAGTGGGGGACTGCGAGAAGGGGCCGGCGGTGGAACAGGCGCGATTCGGGCCGAGGGATTCTTTCCAGTCGACCAGTCACAAGGACCCCTCCAATCCAACCCCTGGCTGCTATCAATGTTGCTCCTTGCTTCATCCCCAAGGGCAGAATTCTTGCGTCGAATCGGTCAAGAGAGTTGCTCTGTCCTGAAAGATCAAAATAGTCGGGTCCCGACCCCAAGAAGGTATTCCTTTTGCTTTCTCTTGATACCTATTTCGAGAAGCACTCATTTGGGTGTGGGTCAAAATATGCGGACCCCCATTAACTGGGGATGTCGCTTTGTCTTCCGTTTAAAAACCATCCCCGAAAGGTTGCCTTGGCTTTCATGACTTTCTAGAGCCACCTACCCGCAAGACATCTCGGGGCACTGACAGGAACCTGGCACCATGGTACGTAGACTTCACTGTTCTTGTTGTTTTTGTTTTCTTTGTGGTTCTGTGCTTTTGTTGCAATAAGGCAAGATAGTTTCTGCTCACATGTCAAGGATTGGACAGTACATTGCAAGAGTCCTTGGTTTTGTGAGCATGAAGACTTGTCCAAAGTCAAATGCAGCTCTGAGATCAAGCAACCAAGCAAACAAGTGGAGACAAGCAGAAGAAAGAGGCAAAAGCAGAAACAAAGAAGTGAACAACAAATACATGTCAAAATTTTCTAATATAAGGGAGGGACCCCCCCCACCCCCCCATTTTCCCCCCCTCCCAGATGTCCCATTTTTATCCCCCTTTTATGCCGGGGGATTTTTCCTATAGATTTTTTGATCCCCCCGGGGGAGCCCTCCAGGGGGTCATTTTTGACGATTTCGGACCCCTTTTTTGACCCCCCCCGGGGGGGTCCCCAAAGCCTACGGCTGCCTCGTGTTCTGTTCTTCCCCCAAAAAAGAAAAACCATCTGGGCAGCCGAGTTGAAGAAGAGGACGAGGGCTTAAGACTTTTTCGCCAATCCACGACTCTCTCTCTCTCTCTTATTCCAGGGATTCCCTGGGCCACAGAGTTGAGCCCTGCGGTCCTCGTATCTCCTCATTTGGGTCAGAATTTCACCACCAGGGGACCGCAGGTTTTAGTCTACTTTTCCATTTACCAGGGTTCCATTTTTGGTACCCATTCTTGACCCACAGCCATTTGTTAGTTTTGGATTTTGGAGACTTTTGTACGTCCGAAGCAAGCAGCGTGTCAAATCCCAGGAGCCTAAGATCCAGCTCGAGCAGCCGCCTCCCAGTCTAGCGCTGAGTCTTCCCAGGGCTTTGTCTTCAGGGAGGAACCCCCCCTTTTGGTTGCTTTTGCGTGGAAACGTCGGGAAACCAACAGGCAAAACGGCCATTCTTCCTATTATTCCTTGGCGTGGAGAAATTGTCTAGGTTGACAGCTTCTGTGATACCACCCTCTTCAAAGTGATAAAAGAGTTATGGGAATGACCTGTAGTATCAGGGATCTCGACTGTGCTTCCTCCCAACTGTGGCAAGAGAACTGGCCCTGAGACGTGATCACATAGTTCTGGCCGGATTTCAGCGGATATCCGGGTCACTTTAGGTGTCAAGCGGCCAGATTCGTCATCTGTCAACCGCAAGCAAAATGCTGAAATATGGCACAAGTCTCAACATGTTGCCCCCAAGCCGAAAAAAGAAGCCTGCAGTCCACCCCCCCCGAACGAAATGTTAGCCATCTTGGCATATCTTGGCAAAGCCTGCAAGACCAAGAATCAATCTTGATTGTTCTGCCACCACGGGTGAGTTGATGTAGCCAGTACTAGTGAGTTATTTGAACGGGCACCCAGGATCAGCAACCCCCCGGTTGGTTCAGAACGGTGTCTAGTTTTAGGAGAGGGTCCTTCACTGTTGAAAAAGAGCAACACATACATATATATGTATATATTGAAAAAAAGAAAAGAACAGGCAAGTTTTGCTTTTCCTTCGCGACTCACAGAAATGACGCACTTCAGCAGTGAGGGCCACCGGGTTGACTCCTAGGTGTCCCGTGAGTTCCTCTAGCCAGGTCCTCCGGATCAATCCGAAATTAGCAGGTAAAACTAATGTTAACCCCGGATCAATAAACCCCTGGTTGATAAATAGGGGGGGTGTCCCCTTTTAGTGGTTGGATTCATCACTTTTGGAGGCAACACCACCCTAATACTGGGTCATCCTGGGTCAACATTAAGTGCGGGTTTGACGGCAAAGGACTTGTCAGGCAACCCCCTGTAATGCTCTGGTAGGGTACCCGGGCAGGGGAGAACCCTAGAGGCTCGCAATGTTGGGAACCCTACCTATGTCGTTCCGGGCGAGCCTTTTTTTTATGCCCTGCGGAGGGTAAACCAAGCCTTCCCCAACAAGTTCCTGAGTTCCTGGACTTTGTGCTTTATGGAAAGGCCACTTTGGTGGTAAATGCAAAGTTTGGTTCTTGTTTTGGGGCCATCCATTCGGAAAGTGAAATATCCGGTGCGAGAACACAACTGCAAATTTGTTTGGGTACCTGAAAATGTCCCTTGAAGCCTGGCATCCACTTAGCAGTAGCCGTCTCCCAACTAATTTCCCGGATAGAGCCGGCGCCTGGACGTTCTGCTTAGACACAAAAAGCGCAGGCGGAAGATCTTTTCCAGGGGTGCCAAAGTACATACCCCTTTTACATACCCCTTGGACAAATGAACCCAGGCCTGTTGATGTTCATACCCCTCTCCTCAAAAGGGGTATAATCCCCTTTTAAAGTGGGTTGGAAACCACGGAAGCCAAGGGGTACGAGCAAGGGGTACATACTTCCACCCTTAGATCTTTGTTTTACCAGTCTGCTACCAAAAACCGTCCTGAGACCGGGTCAGGAAACAAGGGACCTTTTGAGGCCAAGCCACACAGAAAGTGCGCATCTAAGCATCGCCTCTGTTTTTCTTCTTTTGTTTTTAACAAAAAGCCAGTCATGTGAGATGCCTTTACTTACTGGCTGGCATCATCGGCATGCTGGTGGGGCTTTTAGATGCTGGTGTGTGTGTGTCAAAATACGGAAACACCCCTAACACTAAAACGGTTGGTCTTCCTTTTCTTGAAGACAGCCTAACCCCATGCTTTCACACCCCTCCGTGTGTTGACTCAGGTGAGATGCCTTTGCGGGGACACCTGGCGGTGCTTCTGCTGCGGCAACTCTTTGGCGCGCTGCTGGGCTTGTTGGTGGCGCCTCAGAAAGCACAGAGAAGCCATAAAGCAAGCCGTGTCCGTTTTTAGGGGGATCCATGGGGATTTTTCCAAAACAGGCCTTTGTGTTCCTTTTGGTTTCCCTGTAAACCCAGCCAAGAAGGGGTACCCTCCCAAAAAGACAAAGCCGATTGGCCCACTTGCCTGATAATTTGCATATGTTTCCCCTTGTAAACGGAATCCATCACTGTCCGCAAATGGAGGACCTGGAGAGAAGCGTCACCATTTTTGGCCGGGGGAAATACGAACCGGAAGGACTGGTGGAGGAAAAGCCATGGGAACGCCTGACATCTCAGGGGCAAGAGCGAGCGGAATTTACAAGATACATTTTGCCTTACCATTTGAAACTTGGCTTTGTCCACCAAAATAAAGAGAAACCGCCATTTACAAGTTGCAATGTTCAGGTGAAGAATGCAATCCCTGTTCTGAGAAGGCCCCAATTGACCGCGGAGAAAGCCGCCCAACCTTACAGGTCATGTTGCTCAACATGTACCTAGATACGAAAGCGTGGGCTTTCGTCCAAAAGGCCACCTTTCCCCCTGAAAACGAGTGTTTTTTTTTGTTTTTTTGTTTGCTTGTTTTTTTGCGAGGTTGCTTGTTTTCTTCTGCAGGGGTGTAAATTCGCCTCTGCGAGCAAGCAAAGTTGAGTGTATGGTAAGATGCGAGCATGGTACAACCCCCCAATCCAACATATGGATCCTTGCGCGGAGGGGACAATTGAGGGTCAGCGTCTCAATGTCCCAGACCTGCGGGCCCTGTAGCGGGGGGCTTGAGGTTGAAATATGCTTGCTTAAGAATCAGTTACATGCACCCATTGTGTTTTGTTTTTCCATTTCCTAGTTGAAGTCTTTCATTTTGTGTGCGAAAGGGTGACCCCGAAAATGGTTAGCTTGCCAAGCAGGTTTCCTTAAACCAACCCCAGACAGGGTGCCACCAAGCAAAGACGAGCCACCCACCGATTTATGTATTCAATTCACTAGGGAAACCCATCGAAAGTTGTCCAAAAGGTCACCTATGCTGAGGTTCTCCGTAGCAGGCTTGCTTTTTAACCTGTTGCCCTTGTGGTGTTCAACCAACGCAACAACACAGATATCACCATACCAAAGGGGCGCCCGCTGGAGTGGTGTCGAATGTTGAAAACGGCCAGCGAGCTGCCAAGGCCATTCGCTCGAGGAGGTATGGGTGGGGGGTCCCCTACAAAAAGACACACCCGTGTTCCCTTCTTGATGGCATGTTTGCTGAGGTTCTTTTCAGGGAGCCAAAAGGAACCCCCCAACAACTGGCAAACAACGAGGCAACCAAGCAACCAAGCAACCAAGCAACCAACCAAGCAACCAAGCAACCAGCCAAGCAACGAAGCAACTCCCACCCGTCCATAATTTGTTCCATGCGTTTCGTCCGGGACGTCTACTAGGATCATGTCGTTCGCTTTCTTTTCAGGCCTTCGGAGTGCGACGATGCGGCGTCTCAGACAAAGTCTTGCTTATGAGACTCGGACCGAAACATGCCCAGACCTTCTTTCAGGCTGCGGCCTCTTTGTGTGAAGGCTTTTTAGAGGGGGGGGGGCGTCTAATCCAAAACAATGTCTGACACTACGTCGCAGGTCACGTCGCAGTTTTGGCGTCACGCTCAGAGCTGCAAGGGGGCAGACCGGAAAAGAGATGGAAGCCATGCTGGGAACGGTAAACAAGCGCAGGAACATGCTGGCTGCGCCGGGCCCTCTCACTGTGGGAAGCATCCGACAGCCCTGCGACGCGCTCAAGACATGCTGTCAACAACATGCTGCTTGTGTATAGAGTTCTGCGTTAAGGCAATTGAAAGAAATACGAGCCTTCTTAACTTCCAACAGCTGCATGTGGATTGCGCGCGTGTCTGTGAGGCAGGTGGCGCCTTGCTGCGCCTTACAAGCTGGCCATCGCGCAAGCTTCTTGCCAGTCAGAACGCATCAATTTCACATGTGCTCCGCCAAGACACTGCCTCAACAACCCACGGCAAGCGTGCCTCTTGCGGCAAACAAGGAACGGTCGACAATGGTTCCAACATGTTCCAACTGTAGTTATTCGTGATGCGCGGAACGGTTCACAACAGTTCCGGGTGCGCCTGCGCCTGAGAAACGGAACGGTTCACAACGGTTCCGCGCTCCATTGGCGGCGCAAAACGGAACGGTTCACAACGGTTCCCCGAGGGAACGGTTGAGAACGGTTGAGAACGGTTCCGGAACTGTTTGCGGTTGCGCCGTAGGCGACGATGGAACGGTTGACAACGGTTCCGCGCTGAGTTGCCTGGGGCAAACGGAACGGTTCACAACTGTTCCGCGCGAACGTGCTTTGGGCAGACTGGAAGGTCCACCAACCATTGAGGACGGGTGTGATTCTGCAGTTGCAGGCCGCGGATTTCCAGCCGTCAGCGTGCGCAGATCAAAACCAGTACTCTTGGAACCGTTGTGAACCGTTCCGGAGGCCAACCGAACAGTACAAAGCGAGCGAAACCTATGTCGCAACTCAGGTCGCAGGTCATGTCGCAGGTCGTGTCGCAGAGCGTGTTGCAGGCTTTGTCGCAGGCGTCTGGCCAGGCGCATTGCGAGAAATGCCGGCGCCAGCCTGCAAGCAAGGCGGCCGTCAATTGAAAACGGCGCTTTGCCCTGAAGTTCTGCTGGCATGTCTTTGCGAGCCTGAAAAGACAAGCACTCCTACAGCGTAAGTCACACCTGCGACTAAGACGCCGGGACCTCTACTTGCCTGAGCGGGAGCGCCCATGTTTTCCTGTCAAGCTTCCGTAGGAACACGCTGAGCAAAGCAAACCGGGTGACCCAGCGGCAAATGAACGGATCCTTCTTGGCTTACGCGGGCTGATGGAAGCTATGCGCTACGACCAGAACGAGAGCGTCGTCGCAGGTGCATCTCGAGCGCGTGCTGGCTCGGGGCAGCCCCCACGTGCAAGGCAGGCGCAAGAAATTGCTTAACAACCTCTGCTGCAAAGACAGGCCCCGCGCTGTGAAAGGAGGCACAAAGAGTGAAGCCAAGATTTTTGTCATGGTAGATTTAAAAGGATACTCCCTGGCGATTGGCCGCGGGCCAAAGCTAGACAAGCCTTGCAGACCGACGTCATCTTTGCGCGTCATAATGTTCCGCGCAGATGTTGTTTCTGCCGCAGACGGTGCTTCGCCTATACCATCAGTGGCCTGTCAGTTGCGAGCAACAAAGGCACCCTCCAGGCCACTGCTGTTCTAGGACTTCCTCTGTCCCCAATCCCGACGTCTTCTGTTTCACCCGAACCCCGCAAAACCAGTTTGTGACATGACCCGGAACGTCACCTGAGACGTGGGTTGTGACGTCAATCTGTTTTAGTCGGCTCTACTCATCACAAACAGGTGAATAAAGAGGCCGCAGCCTGAAATAACCCAGACCTCCTCCAATTGAGTGTGTCAAAATGGGGGCGCCCCCGAAAACATGTCGGTTTTTCCCAGGGTTTTTTCCCGAACCCAGACCCCAACAAAGGGCCCCTGAAAAAAGACAATGCTTGAAGCTGCTTTGAGTGAGATATTGTTGGAGAATAAGAGAAGTGCACATGTGGTTCTATTGCAACAATTAGATGCAGTATGTTTTTTTGTGCTTGCGCAAAGTTTAGATCCCACTCCCCAAGCCAATTGGCAGAGGCCCTTATTTCAGGGCTCTGATGTTTGTGGAATTTGCCCGGAGATATGAATGGACACGCGGGACCCCCAATCCATATTCCCTTTGCGTGTTCAGGGGTCGTAATGGATCAGTCAGCAATTGGTCTGGGTCCTCCTCTTCGCTCTTCCACCGAGTTTCTGCCAGGATTTTTTAGGAGCAGCCCAGTCAACAGGCACTGGCCGAATGAAAGCCCTGAACTCGATACCCTTTGTTCAATCTTGGAAGGGTTGTTCAGATGTGAGTCTTGATCCCCGTGCACTTGTTTTGACTGATATTGGGTTGGATCTTTAGATTTTAACTTGTTTGGGAAATCAAGGGGTTTTCCATTTACACCCACAAAAGGTAAACACTTTTTGCAGAGGGTATGATTGGAAAGAGGGTACTTATGTTCCGCAGCTTGCGAATCGCCTAAGGCAAGTGAGGGTGATTGACAATCCAGCTAGAGATTGGAGCAGGCGGATTCTTGACATTTTGCTCAAGACCTTTGGAAAACCTGGGCTAAAGGATCAAATTTCCATGATTCAAGACGGGAGAAGGATGTTAGTTTTGTTTCAGCCCTTCAGCGTGGCACGAGGTTGGCTTGTGACTCCTCGAAATCCCGGCCCTACATGGCTTCCACCCCCGAAACTCGGGATTAAGAGACCTGAGAGGCCGAACTGGACCCTGAAAATGGATTTGGGTTGTCCTGCTGTCCCTTTAAACCCCCGCAAATAGTGCCCTGAAACGAGGAGCACGCAAGGCAGCCAGCCGGCCAGCAAAGCAAAGCAACCTTGAACCCGGCCTGAACACACTATTGACCCACCCTAACTCAGTTGTTCAAATCCGACCTTTTGACCTTTTGGTTTTCCCACTTTGGCAACCATATTTAGTCATGGCAACCCAAAAGGTGATCACCTTTTAGTTCCAGGACCTTTGGGCAACTGACCTAAACCAACCTTAAACCAGCTTGAACCCAGTCACAGGACGCTTCTGCTGCAGAGCTGTGGGCCACCGATGATCAATCTCTCCGTGATGGCCGGCGCAGCTCGGACAATTTTTCGACTTATCCCGAATCGGTAACTTCACTGTTCTTGGCATGTGTTTTTTAGTTTTTTGTTTTTTTTGGTTCTGTTCATTTTTACTGGGGGTCTGTCAATCGTGTGCCTTCGCTTGGAGATGTTCATCAGCAGTTCGCAGCCGATGTGAATCCGTTTGCCAAGGGGCTCAGGTTTTGGGGAAAGACCTTAGAGGGCGTGGCGCCACGGAGAAAAGGTCGCGGAGGAGCTCTCGGAGGGCGAGGTCGCCTGGGGATTTACATTGGTAGCGTGAGCAGCTTCAGTCTCAGGGAGACGCTGCCGGCGGCCTGGACGATAGGCCAGGGAGGTGGAAAGAGAACCGGAGGTCTGAACGAGAGACCAGGTGCAGTGGCTTTTGCAGTTGGGTGATTGCAGTTTTGAGGACAGCTTTCGCTGGTTGCAATGGCGCAGGGAGAAGCAGGAGGGGGATTCGCAGGGGTTCCCACGCAGATAGCACAGCTCGTGCCGAATTTGGACCCGAGCCGTGGAGACAATTTGGAGACATGGTCGCAGAAGGTGGAGTTGGTGGCCAATGTCTGGCCGAAGGACAAGTACCCGGAGCTCATCACCAGGCTGATCTTGGGTTGCAGTGGATCTGCCTTTCAGAAGCTTCAGTTACAACAGGCGGAGCTCAAGACGGGCGACATGGAGGCGGTGAAGAAGATAATTTCCATCCTGGGAGGCACTTGGGGTCAAGTTCCATTGGAGAAGAAGTTTGAAGCCGCCGAACGAGCCTTATTCAAGATCACTCAGAAGGGAGATGAGACAAACGACTCCTACCTGGCCAGAGCAGATGTGGCATGGTTGGAGATGTTACAGAAAGGGCTCGACATCAAGGAGCTCCAAGCCTATGTGGTTTTGAGGAACTCTCAACTCGCTCCCGAGGATAAGAAGCGCGTTCTCGTGGAGAGTGGAGCAGAGGCCGGAAATGTCCTTACCATGCCGAAGGTGAATGCGGCAGTCCGGATGTTGGGCACAAGTTTCTTTCAGGACTACACGGGCATCAAGAAGAGTCGCAACAAGACCTATGATCAGGCCACACTTCATCTAGAAGACGCCGGAGAAGATGAAGGGGAAGATGCAGATGCATTTCAGATGGAGGGCCTCACAGAAGAAGACATTCAGGAGCAGTTGCGGTGTGAAGGAGATGAAGATGCAATTTTGGTGGCTCAGTTTGAGGATGCGGCCACCGAGACCTTGCAAAATGATACCGAACTCGCCGCACTGTTTTCCACATATCAGGATGCCCGCAGACGTTTAGGGGACAAGGCCAAGTATCGTGGTTTTCGGGCTCCTCGCAAAGGCAAGGGCAAGTCCAAAGGCAAATGGATTTCAGGCAAGGGACAAGGAAAGAAGACCTTGTCACAGCGCATCATGGAGTCCAACTGCAGGTTGTGTGGGCAGCGTGGTCACTGGAAACAAGAGTGCCCGAACAAGGGACAACCGCCAGCATCCAGTGGTCAGTATCCTGTGTCATTTGCCGCATCCGGGAGTGAACCCCAGCACAACACGTCGGAAGCCCTCATGCAGATTCCAGAGATCGCCATGAGCTTTCAGGACTCATCCATGGCAGGCTTGTGTTCAAATGAGGTCCATGAGGTTTTCACAGCATGCCACAACGCAGTTGCCTGGCCCGCCCGCAGGAACCTTAGAGAAGTGATCCGCCGAAGAAGTGAAAATCAGAAGCCACCGATGACTCCAGCCATTTCCCAACATGCCTCCAACACTGAAGTGATGGAAACGTTGTTTGCGTCACACGGAACCAAAGGTGTTGTGGACCTCGGAGCATCACAGAGCGTCATGGGAAGTCGGCAGGTGTCAGAGTTTTTGGATGGGTTGCCGAAGGTGGTACGCCAGCGTGTCCGAAAGTGTGCTTGCCGCATGGTGTTTCGTTTTGGAAATCAAAGCACCCTCACGAGCCACACCGCACTCATGGTACCAATCAACAAGCAGGGGCTATGTGTGAAAATCGCTGTTGTAGAAGGCGGCACACCATTCCTCATTTCGAATGCATTGCTGTGTTCACTGGGAGCTGTCATAGACACAGGTCGGCAAGAAATCACATTCCAGAAACTTCAGAAAACAGTGACCGTGCAATTGTCAAGCCGAAATCTGTTTCTGCTTGATTTCAAGGACATATTGCCAGATGACCTGAGTGACACGGCCCTTATCAGCCATAGCACAATAGATGCTGCACCGTCCGCTCCGTGTGAGCCGAAAGTCAGAGTGTGTGCAATCCAGATTGAGCCTGTCCAAACCATGAGCCCCTTGAGCAAATGTAGAGGTGAGTTGCCAAGTGATAATGCGAATCTGAATGATCAGTGTGCTCAAGCCAGTGTGCCGTGTGTCACCGGTCACGACGTGAACCTTCCGAGAGACACCAATGTCGCTAGCACTGGCCGACCGCCTCAAGAACCTTCAGAAGATGATCCAGGAAGAGACACGACCACCAGTCGAGACTCTCACGAGGGACGAACTGGAACACGAGAAGATCGCATTTGGAACGGCCAAGAAGGGACAGTCATTTGCCAAGGCAGTCAGCGACCTGAAGTGGACCAGTTGGTTTGTGAGCCACTACGAGGGATCCAGCAAGCGGGAGCACCAGACGTTCATCCAGTATGTGCATCTAAGGACGTTGGAGATGGAGGAACAGCCCAGTCAGCTGAAGAGAATGGCCGGGACATTGAAACAGAGTCCCAAGGATCAGATCACCAAGTGGGAGGAGGACGAGGACCAGTGGCAGATTCCACAACAGGACCCGTCTCAGGGAAGCCAGACCGACCCGGATGTGCAGGCTCTGCAAAACCGGATGTGCAACATCGAGAAGGCCTTGCAGGAGGTGATCCAACACCTGCATCAGCGGGACCGGCTGAAGAGCACCGAGACGGACATGTGAGCGCATCAGAGAGTGTGCCAGCGAGCAACATGCCACCGGAGAACTTCAGGCAGCATACGCAAACAGTCAGTGATCAACAGTGGCATGATGCGCTTCATACGGTTCCCCAGGAATGTTTGCACAGCATGCCAGTCGACAGGTCCCTCACTCCGGCAGGAAAGATTCGGACCTGGGTAAATCAATTCAACAAGGAATTAGAGGAAACCCGTCAGAGTGTTAAGGGATCGCCCATTAAGTACCAGATTGACGTGCTTGAAGTGTTTTGTAGCCACCAAAGTCAGATCACTCACCAGGTCAATCAATTGGGAGGCAGGGCAATTCGAATACATCAAGGGAGTGCAGATCTGAGCACCATCTCTGGGCGTCACACATTGTTTCAACACATGGTGCAACGGAAGCCTAAGCATGTGTGGTTCAGTCCGGTGCGCAAGGCCTGGTGCAAATGGTCTCAGTTCAATGCCAGCCGGTCGCTAGAAGCCTGGGAGCAAGTGTGCCAGAATCGTGCAGATGCGTGCTGGCAAATTGCCCTAGGAATCGTGCTGGCAGAGCATCAGGTTCAGATGGGTGGACATTTGCATTGGGAGCAACCAGAGGGATCCAAGATGTTTGATTGCCCTGAGATGAAACCGGTGCACCAGAACACGAAGTCCTGCCGTTTTGACATGTGTCGTGTCGGTCAGCTTTGTGATCCGGAATCCGGAATGCCAATTCGAAAGCGAATGAACGTCCTGACCACAGACGATCGCATGTGGCAGATGCTTTCGAATCGGTTCTGTAGCCGAGACCACGCACATCAGCAAGTCCAAGGAAGTGTGGTCACAGAGACTGGCAGGATAGAAAGGGCCAATTTCACTGAACAGTATCCACGGAAGTTTGCCCGTCAAATAGCGAAATTGTTGATTCAGTCAGCATTGCCATCGTCCGTCCCTGTGGCAGAAGCATTTCCCGTGCAATCCGAGCGTCCGGCCAACAAGCGCCAATCCGAACCGGGGACGGGCACGGCCGTAAGTGAAGCCGTCAAAATCCTGAAGAAGCGTAGGATTCGCCTCAAGATCCGTCGTCCCCGGGAATATCCCGAGCCAGAGACGTCAGAGTCCAGCAAACGACCCAGAATTCAGGAAGACCCCAAGGAAATTTGGGAGCCGATTTTTGAGTTGGCCCGGAGAAGTGCACCTCCAAGGGAAAGACAAGTGATTGAGCAAGGAGCCTTGTTTGATGCCGTGCAAAGTGCTTGGAATGATGCCCAACTAAAATACGTCATGGTGGGGAGAGGGGTCAGTAGACATCAGCCACTTGCCAAGGAAAAGGACGTTGGAGCCGCACCGTACCGACGCATGGCTTTTGTTCACAGACGTTCGGGAAAGATTGAAGTGGAACCAAACTGGGAAAAGTGGGGGCAATTGTTGACCAAGCAGATCTACCGTCCCATGCCACCGTCAAGCATTAGCATAATTGGGTTTGGGAATGTCAGTGAAACAAAGCCGCCCGAGCCTCCACGGGAGCGAGATCCTGACCCGCAGGGCGAAGCCGAATTGCAGAGATTGGAATCGCAAGGTGTGACTGAGGATCTCACTCAACGAGAAATCATAGATTTGACTTCTAGTGATCATGGGCCGGCATTTTTGCAACTACCACCCAAGCAGCGCAGGGCACTCATCAAGGTGCATGGGAACCTTGGTCACCCACATTGCCAGAAATTGCAAAATGTCCTCCGACAGCAGAACTGGCCGAGTGATATGGTCAATGCCGTTGCAGACATGAAGTGTTCAACCTGCCAGGAGCTGCAGAGACCCAAGATTCAGAGGTCAGCGGCAGTCAAGGATGATTTAGATTTCGGTGACATTGTAGCCATGGATGGAATCAGTTGGAAAAACCAAGCAGGCCAAGAATTCAACTGTTACCACTTTGTAGATTACGCCACCAGCTATCAAACAGCCGTTGCCGTGCAGCATGAAAATTCAGAAGGTGCCATCAACGCCGTGTTGCAAGGGTGGATTCAGTGGGCTGGAGCGCCATACCACCTCCATGTGGATTCGGCAGGAGAATTGAATTCAGACATGTTTGCCAGCTTCCTTCAAAGATTCAACATCAGAGGAACCACCATTGCGGCAGAAGGACATTGGCAAAACGCCAAGGCAGAAAGACATGGAGGCATTTTGCAGGAAATCCTCAACCGGATGGACCGTGATGTTGGCATCCCTGACTTTCATGAATTCCAGTGTGCGTTAGCCCAGGCTTGCATGGTAAAGAACCAGTGGACTAGAGTAAGAGGGTTTCCGCCAGAAGTGCTTGTGTTTGGGAAACTGTCTCGGGTAGCCGCATCCGTCACATCAGATATTGAGATCCCCGCGCATGCATTAGCACAGTCCCAAACTCCGGAAGGAGTGCGATTCCGAAGAGAGTTGCAACGCCGCGCCTTTGTCCAACTTGATAATGATCAAGCCATCCGGAGAGCGCTTGTGAGCCGACCACGGCCCTTCCGAAGTGACTTCAAGCCAGGGGATTGGGTCATGGTATGGAAAACTAAGAAAGTCGGTGATGGGGCCTGGATAGGACCCATGAAGGTTGTTCAACAAGAAGGCCAAGAAGTCACCTGGGTCACGATGTCGGGAAAGCTGTTCCGTGCACCACCTGAACATGTGCGTCCCACATCCGCAGTTGAATTTAACAAGGTTGAACGTCAAGGTCCAACTCAGCAGATCATTCCACCCGGAGTAGTGCAATTGCAGGATTGGACGCGTGTGCCTGACACTTTGACCATACCTCGACCTCGGGCACCAGCAACTGGGGCTCCACCGGAAATCCCATCAGGATCCCATTCCCGGCCGGAGCAGAGTGCGCCGACCAGTGTGAACCCAGAGCGAAGTAGAGCAACCCGATGGTGAACCCTCAGTGTCTAGGGCACCCTCGCAGACCGAAACATCAGGCATTCCAGAGATAGGGGAAACCAGGGTACCAGATGGGGTAGAGGTTCCTGTGCCGGAGGATGACGCCAGTCTGTTTCAGAGCACAGAAGCATGGAAATGTGAAGTCTTTCTCACAGCCGCAGATCTTGATCGATGGGCACATCATGGGGAGGAGGAACACCTTGGTTTAGTGGTTTCCGCAGCCAAGCGCCAAAAGCCCGAAGTCAAACTGGCGGGTCTTCAGCCTGAGGAGCAGAAACTGTTTCAAGCAGCGAAACACCAGGAAGTTGCATCGTGGCTGGATACCGGAACCGTGACCAAGATTCTGCGACATCAATTGCCTGAAGAGAATATCCTGAGATGTCGATGGATTCTCACCTGGAAGGATGTTGCTGCTGACAATACCAAGGTACCTCAGAAACCATCAAAGAAAGCCAAGGCCCGGTTGGTTGTGTTAGGATATGAGGACCCTGACATTGAAAACATCCCAAGAGACAGCCCAACTCTCAGCAGACTTGGCAGAATGTTGCTGTTGCAGATGATTGCCAGCCGAGGGTGGAAACTCTCATCCTTCGATGTGAAAACTGCCTTTCTGAGAGGCAGCGCCAAGGATCAACAATTACTCGGTATGGAACCGCCCAGTGAAATGCGAGAACAGATGAAATTGCAGCCATCCGAAATTTGTCAACTCTTGAAGGGAGCTTATGGTAGAGTGGATGCGCCATATCTGTGGTATGAAGAATTTGGAAAGACTCTTCTGGGACTAAACTTTCAAGTGAGCCCATTTGACCCATGCTTGTTTCTTCATGTTGATCCCAGAACCAATAGTGTCCATGGGGCCATAGGCGTGCATGTAGATGACGGCCTTTGTGGTGGAGATGCTGTGTTTGATGATGCCATCCAGCAACTGGAAAAGATATTTCCTTTTGGTGCCAAAAAGAGTGAAGTGTTCAAGTTCACCGGAATTCAAATTCGCCAGGAGAGGTCAGGGAAGATTGTGCTTCAGCAGGAAGAGTATGTGAAGGACATCGACCCAATCGTCCTTGCCCGTTCCAGACGGAACAATCCCGAGGAATCCGTGTCGGAATCGGAACGCCAGCAGTTCCGTGCCTTGATCGGTAGCCTGCAGTATGCTGCCGTCAACACCCGCTCAGACTTGTCACACCGGCTGGGACTTATGCAAGGGAGGGTAAATCAGGCCCAGGTACAGGATTTACTTGATGGCAACCGTTTGCTTCATGAAGCCAAAGCCAATTCGAAGGTAAGCATCCAGATTCAGCCCATTCCTTTTCAGGATGTGAGGTTCTTGACATTCTCAGATGCCTCTTTCATGTCAGCCAAGACCACTGATGCATATCAGGGGATGTTCATATTTGCCACCAACACTCAATTGGAAGTGAACCAGAGGAGTCCCGTAAATCCCATTTCATGGCACTCGAAGAAAATCCAAAAGGTTGTAACCTCCACGTTGGCGGCAGAAACCATGGCTTTAGCCCAAGCCCTTGACAACGTGTCGTGGATTAGACTGTTTTGGTCGTGGATGATATCACCGTCAGATGCCTGGAAACTCGGAGATCAGACCCTTCTAAAGCTTCCTCCAGCAATTGCAAGTGTCACCTACTCTGAAGAAGAGGTACCTCCCATCCCGGTCACAGCACAGGGACTGACAGGAACCACCACCGCCACGGACTGCAAAAGCCTCTATGATTTGGTGAGCCGCACTGCACCACCCAATTGCCAAGAGTTTAGAGTACTTCTTCAGGCCCGTTTGATTAAGGAACAGTTGAAGTCGGGGATAACTCTGAGATGGGTGCCGAGTGGGGCACAGATTGCAGATGCTCTTACCAAAGCCATGGATCCCACCGCTATCCGCACCTGTTTGCAGCTAGGCCGGTATGCCCTTCAGGATGAAGGTGAGATGCTGAAAACTCGAGCCAATGCGAAGGCCAGACTTGCATGGCTTAAAGCCAATGGGGAGCCATCCTCTGAGGATGCGTAGATGCAGGAGGGGGTTCAAGCGAACACTCATTTTTTGGGAGTGTCAATCGTGTGCCTTCGCTTGGAGATGTTCATCAGCAGTTCGCAGCCGATGTGAATCCGTTTGCCAAGGGGCTCAGGTTTTGGGGAAAGACCTTAGAGGGCGTGGCGCCACGGAGAAAAGGTCGCGGAGGAGCTCTCGGAGGGCGAGGTCGCCTGGGGATTTACAGGGGTCTGCAAAAAACAGTCAGTTTTTCGCTACCATGCCAAGAGTAGAGATGGGTAGGGTTCGGTTCTTGCGGCCGGAGCCGAACTTGGGGACGGTTTCAAACCAGAAGCTGGGTCCGTCATTCGGCTGTGACACCAAGCACCATCCAAGCACCAAACCCATTGACAAATTTGTCAGAAGGAGCTTGGACTCCGGCGCCAGACAACTGGTGGGATTCCGGCGCGCGTTCCTCTAAAACCACCAAACTCTAGGTATACCAACTCAAAATAAATGAGACATGGGTTTGTCTTTTATTGATGGTACCCTTTTTGGGTGTGCTTTGAAGGGAGACCAAAAGGAAAACCGATCATTTCGGGGTCCCCAAAAAGGGACGGCAGCCACATCAAATTGGTCGCGTCCGCGGTTTAGGTGAGCGGAACGGCGCAGAAGGACGCGGCCAAGGTTTTGCTCATCACCTACCTGGCCTCAGTCACTTGGATGTTGGACGCCCTCCCCCCCCCCACCCCGCAACACCCTCCCCACAATCTCCCGACACCTTTTTTTCCCCCCCCCCCCCCCCGGTCTCGCGATGATGCGGGGAAGCGCCAGCACGGGGTAGCTTCCCCAGATTTTGTTTTTCTCGCGTTTTTGGGGTCCCTTTGTTTTCCACTGAGGCTAAAACAAACTGCCGGGGTCCTAATTCCAGCCATAGGTGGGGAATGAATGTCCGAGTCCGGGAGTTGGAGTCGAAAGCGGGTTTGGGGGATTCCCGAAAGAAAACCACAAAAGTTGGATGGTTTACAGTCAGAAAGCCCTTAACGGGGGATCCACTAACGGGTCTGGGTTTCAGGCTGTTTCAGCCGCCAGGGCTTAGTCCAACTCATTCTCTGAGGAGCAGCAGGTTCTAAAGGAGATCAAAGGGGCACTGACTTTCTTGTTTTTTTTTTCCTCCAGATGTTCATGCTCCGCGTCGTTTCAGGAGTGCCTTGTGGCGTTGTGGTGTGGCTGACACTTCCCCCAAACGCCTCGCCTGAGTTTCTGGACTTTCACTTTTGATGGTTTGGACAAGTTCAGTGGCCAACAAGAAAGGCTTGAGATTGTTTCGGGCAGCCTTGGAAGTGAGATATTGTTCCAAGGTTGCGTTTTTTTGCGAGGGATGAATGCATGAGTGGATCATGAAAAGACTCGAGCATTGCGTGCATTCTCGGGTGCATGGTTCAAGCTAAAAGCGTTGCACTGTGCAAGTTGCATGTGGGGACTTGTTCTTTCCGACCTTGGGCGCATGTTACCCGCAAAATGGCACCATAAACCTTTCTACCCCCCAATTGGTGGTTTGGATTGGTGGTTTGGGGAACAGTGGTCTTTGTAGACAGATGGGAACCCTTTTCTTTAGCCACCAAACCCAAAGCTGAACCTTGCTGCCTGCGCCAGGCAGATATTTTGTGCGATGGGAAACAGGAACCCGCCCAGCCAGGGTTTCTGGGGTACGGCCATGTTGTGTGATAAGAAATGCCTTTTCACTGTCGAGAGTCTCGCAAAGGTCTAAATCCTATAGTGGAGTTAAGAACTCTGAGGTCTTTCCGAGACTCTGGGAGATATGTTTTTTGCGGGGTCTTAGCTCCAAGGGTGGAGCCTTTTTGTTGCCCCTTGGGCTGCTCAACTAGAGTAGCCAAAAACAAGGTCTGAACCAAGTCTGAAATCCGTTGATTGGGGGACATGGGGGAGGGGTGGGCCTCCATCTGGCCAAAGTGTTGTGCTTCTGCCATAGTGCGCCCCCATCAGCTCTTGTACCCGTGTAGTGGTTGCCTTTTGGTTGAGATTGAGTGCGAATTGGGGTCGGTGTGCTTCCCTCCTTGCAGGTTGGCAGTGCTGGTTGCCTCACCTCAAGATGTGCCATCCGCAGCCTCCATCCCAATAAGCCGACTTCCCGCCGGCATGCAACAAGCTGACTCAATCTGCAAGAAGCACAGGAAATCCCATGTTCCCCAACTTGGGTTCAGACTAGGCTCAGACGTTCAGACCTCTCTTATGGCCTCTGCGCTGTTGTGAATAGACTGACCTGAATCTGCTGACCTGAAGCTGAGCTGTAAGCTGGGACAGGTTTCTAGCTGCAAACGTGCAACTCGTGTAGTTGTAGACCATTCTTATTGTAAACGCAAATCCGCTTTTGGGGGGCAACGAGATTCTGGGACATTTACTTGCCGGCCAAACGAGAGTCTCGCTTCTTGTTTAATAAGATTTCTTGACACACTCAACGACCGTAACCATGAGGGTGAGAGTTCAGCTGGATGCGTTGGACGCACTGGGCGAAAAGACACGTGGCTGTTCTAAAAGCTGTTCCTGGGGATGGGAACACATCATGACACACACACACACGCACACGTAAGCAAGTCCCTCCTGGATCCATAGTTCGTGGGAGGGTCATTTCCGAATTCCCCCAAGAGGTGAGATGGCTTCGACACCGAGGTCTTTACCTGGGTAATGTGGACCGCGATCTTCCTGTCCTTCTTGTGAGCTCCGCACCTATTGGGTAATTACTCGGGCTCACTTTTTCTGGGGATTAGTTTTTCTGGGGCATAGCAGATCTGTGCTTTTGCCGATTTCCACCCGGAAATCCCGCTTTGGCTTGGGCCAAAGCATTCTCCGTGCGGAGTTCAGGGCTCTTTGTGCTTTCCCCTTTTTCACCACGCCAGTTTAGTGGGCTGATGCAAATGATGAAATCATCCAGGAAGTACCTTCCAACGAATGTGGAACCCAACAACCCGCCATTTTTGGGATTGGAACCTCCTTTGGGGGGGACCTTGTTGGGTGTCCTCCTTAGCAAGACCTTTCTTGGAACAACAACCTGGGACCTTTCTACAACCCGCGATGCTCTGTCCTTGGGAGGGCCCGGCAAGGCGCCGGCAACCACTTTCAAGCTGCGCCCTGGGGTTTTTTGGGCGCAGCTTCGGCCTCGAAAATTGGGAGATGCCGCAAGCGGGTCCCGGGGAACTCACTAAAGTAGGCACGCGGCACAAAAGACACTTGAGATATGTTGAGACTTTTTGTTTGGCCAATCCACAAAGTGCATGAGTGAATGGAAACGGAGTTTTATCCATTTTGGGGTGGTGTGATTGAGGCATTCCCCGCGGAACCGCGCATCGTTTGGCTTGAGTTTTCCGACTTGGTCAGCAAGCTGTGAGCCCCGCCCTTCAGTTGGCACGTGCTGTCTCTCAGACATGTTTGTGAACTTGACTCGTTGGGGGGGCCTAAGCGGCCGCAGTGCAAGAGCGGGAGGAAAAAGGAGAGGGAGGAACCATGTATGCGCATGACGGGTGCCAGGGTGACTTCCCCGCAGGAGTTTTATTGAGCGCTGCTCCGTTTGAGCCATTGGGGCCCAGACTTGGAACCCTGCCAATGTTTCTAAGGCGCTAAGCCTCGATTTTTTGGGGTTTCAGGTCTTGCAAAAAAAAAAAACTTGGAGCGGATCACAAATTTAATTCGATTCGAAAAAGCGAATCGGACCTTTTGGACCACTTTTGGTTCCCCCCCTTTTCGGCCACCATTCTTCTCATCCCGAAAGCTTTCAGCTTTCAGTCCGGAAGGTTCGACAGCCATGGCTTTGCCATGGCTTGCGCGAGACGTTCCCAGGAGTCCAAATTGCCAACGCCGCTTTTTGTGGCGGATGTTTGATAAAGGCGAAGCTCGCTGAAACCGCGGAGGCCCCACTGGAAACCTCAAATGGCGATCGGAAGCTTCCTTCGCCGTCCAACCCAGCCAAGAATAGGAGGCCGTTTCCTCCTATTTGCGGGAGAAAAAAACCAACGGATCACTTTGAAGATTTTCATTCCCAGGAATCCGCCAGGTGGATTCCTTCGGGAACTGACAAAGAAACCCGAAGGAGACCCTGCAGGAAGTCCAACTTTTTGTACAAATTTCTGTGGCTGTCTATCATTTGCTCTCAGCGTTTCCGGCTTTCGGCCCTTGTGGTTTGTAGACATGTTTTTGTTTCTTCTTCGTGGCAGGTCCTGGGAATATGTGGTGCAGGGCCCGGTGGCCGAGTTTGCGCCAGAAAAACTGGGAGCTGGACAGGTCCAAGGCGAATCGACCTCGGATATGTTTTGTTGTTCCCTTTTTTTTCCATTTTGAGTGAAATGGCCCCAAAAGGCTGGGCTGTTGGGCTACCTCGGGTACGCAAGGGTTCTGTGGGTTTCACATCGGAATTATGGACTAGGATTGGCCAGCACTCCGTTTTGAACAGCCCCACAAGGTTAAGCTTCGATTTTTGGGTCCCTCACGGGCAAGTGAGTGAGAGAAAAATCCTCTTGCAGGACCTTTCCGGTCAGATTCCATGTTAGTGGATGTGGATAGAGGGTATCGCGCAAGCAGTTTTGACAACCCTTTCGGTCTTTACATGGGATGAGACCATTCGATATTTTTGAAAATCAGAGGGTTCCCTCTTGGCGGAAACCCTCCAAGGCACCCGAAGTTGAAAGGAATTTCGCGATGTGTGGATGGCCCAACTTCCTTTTCCGAGTGGTTGAACGACCAGTCGAACCAGCCGCCCGCACCCGCCGCTTGACCACATAAAAAAAAAAAAAAAAAAAAAAAAAAAAAAAAAAAATCCCTGGCGCTCGAGGTCAGTACGATCGCCTGGAGCAGTTGGACTTTGCTCCGAAGCTGGTCTCATGCTTCCCCGAGGACCCATTGGCCTCCGGGGATTCCGCTTCCCGTGGGGCTTTGGAAGAGAAGCCCAGTGTGGATTCCACTTTACCAACCTATTTGTGCACTGAACATGGTCAACAGAAAGCATGATCTGCTTGACTTCCGGACTCAGAAGTCAAGCTGTGGACGCATAAGCGTTCTTTACGAACTCCGGAAAAGGTGTTCAGCTTTTTTGGCCCTCTGGGAGCAACTTTTTGTGATTTGCGTTTGGACAAGTTCAGGCTTTTCCTTTTCATGAGGGTAAAGCTATCTGGCCAATGGGATAGTGCCAGCCAGAAGAACTTACTCGAAGGGCTTCAGGAAAGTCAGGCAGGTCGGAAGGTTCACCTGCCTGAATCAGATGTCTAATATAGTCTTGGCAGAATGTTGCTTCATGCCCCAACCATTCCCCCACTCCAAACATATTCAGCAATCAGATGGCGAAAATAGATGGCGCAACTCCCGACTGAACCAAAATGGGTTGGAATGGGCCACCGATGTGTTCACCCAGCATCCGGCTGCCCATGGGCAAATGAGCTACCTCTGCCTCAGCCCGGCACCGAAATTCCTCTGGAAGTCAGGACGCAGTGGCCTGTGCCCGAACAAGAGGTGCCGGGTTTCGCCCGCTCGAACTCAAGGGCTCTTTGCTTCGAAAAGGTGATGTGGGCATGGCTTTGAACCCCTGGTTCTGGCTGGTTGGCTTGAAAAGGAACCCCAAAGGAAACTGTTTCGATTTGGGGGTCCCCGAATGTTGAGAAACACTCATGTTGCTCAGTTGTTGTGGCTGTCCTTCCCTTTTGGGAAAGGAAGACAGGATGACTAGCAATAGAGATTTGATTCCAGGCGTGGTAGTTTGGTCGCGGTGTTGAGCAACCATGGTGATTTGTAGCATCCCAGCTTCCATGGCACCTTTTCTCGGTAGCTGGCCTGAAAGCAAAACCCTCCCAACAGGCAAATGGGGTCCAGCAATTCACCCTGTACGATGGATTTAGATGAAATTCTTTCGGACAACAGCAACAGCAACAACAACAAACCAACAACAACGGTCCTTTGGGCAACTGAGCTTTGCAAACATGCCACGTTTTGAAACGTGAGTGTTTGACTTTGGCTGTCGAGGGCCAAGTTTCTGAGGTCCTTCGCTTTTGACATTCCACGTCGGTCTGTGGCTTTTTTCCAAATGGGGGCGGGTTGCTTTGGTGGGTACCCGTTCTGCTTGACTTTAAAGGGAATTTCAAAGGGACACCACATATTTCGGGGGTCTTCAAGATAAAGACCCATCGTTGACCCTGTATCTAAGTAGCCGTCTGATTTTCAGAGGGGGGCCCCCGGCCCCTCCAAAAGTGGTCTGAACCCCAATAAAAGGGGTTCCTGCTAGAAAGGACCGCTTCTGTGGTGCCTGTTTAAAGCGCTAGCACGGCACTGGGCGCATGCTTTTTCCATGGGAACATGTCATTCCGACGGCTGCCAGTAGTGGTCAAGGCAACCAGTGTGCCCTACAAAGCCTTTAGACACCGAAGTTCAGCCACGCTGGCCAACAATCAGTGGGACGGCCCTTTCATTTGGTAGAGTGTGGGAGCCGTTCGCAAGGCGTGGCCTTCGTTTGCACGCGTGGTCGCAGAGTGCGGTGCTCGGATGTGCTCGGCCACCGTTTTCGGATGAGTAACTTTGCCGAAAGCCCCCACCTGAGTCGCAATCAAAACCCGGTATCAAAATGGACGAGCCCCAGAACCATGCTTCAAGAATTGCCAAGGCGGATATCCGCAGCTGCTTCTGTTTCTGGCTGGGATTGCCCCTTACTAACCTTCATCTACCCGAGTTTATAACTCGTTTGGGTTGCCATGGCGCAAAATGAGGTGCAAGCAGGGGCAGTCGCCAATGAGCCCTGACCATTGGATTCAAGCAGACAGCGGGTCCCCTTGAGAGGGCAAACTGCTCAAAGAGCTACGAAGAGCCATGCGTGTTCGTTGACCTCCATTTGCGGATAAGTCCCCTGAAAAGAAAACATATTGGTATTCCGTGATAGGTTCCCTTTCAAACCACCAAGGGACAATCGCACATATTCTTAAGCAAATGCAAATTGACAGACGTGCTTCTGGTCTCATAAAGTGACACCCCAAGCGAAGCAATTTCTCCTGACATTGTGCGAAGGAGCTTCTACCCACGACATCAAGTTTGGACCTCTTCACGGGTGCCAAACAACAACCATCATGTTATCCCCTAGAAATACTCACTCACCGGGGATGGGTGAGATTGGATTTTCCACACCCCCTAAGCGGATTGGTTAGATTTGTTTTTCCAGACCCCCCAATGTTGGACCCTCTTTATACGGCCCCCGCCCCCCCTGAACAGTGGAGCCAGTCAGCTGGACCCTCTGTTGTGGAAATCCTGGGGGTCTGGGAGGGACAGTACATACTTTAGTATTGCCACTCTACTTTAGTATTGTCAAGGTCCCCTCTCAGATTCCCAGTACTTACTTTAGTATTGCCAATTCTACTTTAGTATTGCCAAAGCTGGCTCTCAGCTTCCCAGTGCTTACTTTAGTATTGCCAATGCTACTTTAGTATTGCCAAGGACCGTTTTTTCAGCAAACCCCGGAACCAGTTGGACACTAAAGAGGGCCCCAAAACAGTCAGACTAAAGAGGATCAGGGGCTCTTGTGGGCACCCCGCTTTGCATGACTGATTGCCCTCATTTTTGTGTAAAGAAGTTATCTTAAATTTGATGGTTTTGGGAACAACTTGCAAAATGGATTTCCTAGATCTCAGGCCTTTAACCTTTGAGCTGGGGAGAGCTTAGGATGAGCCCCCTCCTTTGAAAGTAAAAGGCTGAGGCTTTGGTTTTCAATTTTCAGCAACCCAAACAGTTTCATCAAAGAGGATCGGTGCCTCTTCTGGGCACCCCCCTTTGTGTGACTGTTTGCCCGCACTTGTTTGTAAAGAAGCTATCTTGAAATTTGATGGTTTGGGGAGCACTTCAAGAAAAGGATTTCCCAATGTTTGCCAGGA